TTTTTCTGTTTTAAATAGATGTTGGCTATTGTAAATGGTGGAATGGACAATAATTTTAAAGAAGGTAAAGAGTTGAAAGAGATAGTAACCTAAAAAGAGCTTAATTTTCAGCTGCTCCAATTTCCTGGTGGTTGCATGTCTTAGTGATGTTTTCCCTAGATGTTTGACTCCTACAGGGATTTCTTTGATCCAGAAATTATATCTAGGCTTGGCCAAGTACCATAGAATTTTAAGGGTATGAGGTAGATAGTTATAGCCACTAACATGAATAGGACAATCAGAGCTATTCATGGAAAGGCAGATTAAAAATCTGGAACGATATGCAGAATAATACAAGGTTTTCGGGGCAAAACATTTTTTGAAGTATTTATTACAAGAGAAAAGAATCAGCATAAAACAAAATCTCTTAAGAGGCAAACCTATGAATATATTTATGTTGTTATTTGGTAATAAATTTGCCTCTCTGTATGTGTGTGCCCTATTATATATCTTAACATTCAATTAATGCAACTAATGCTTATCTCTATTCCCTTAAACTATGGTTGCAAAATGTTTGAATTTCATGTCTAACCACTGTCAATGAGTGTGTTTGTAAAACACTAAGCATCTCAGATTGGCTGAAAGAGGCATATGTGCTAACACACAATAAGAAGCATATGAGCTAACACACAATAAGAAGGATATGTGCTAACACACAATAAGAAGGATGGCTTGTTTATTATTTACTATAATCCTGCACCGTCCATAGTTACATTTCCAGTTAAAACTATTGGAATAATATAAAATATGAATACAATGCAATACAATTGAGCCTTTAAGGGTGCAAATGTAAAATGTAACCTTAAGATTTTGCTTAAAAGACCATATGGTAGGCTAATTGTTGTTATTAACTTTATGAATGGCTACCTTCCACCTGGATATATCGAGCAAAGTGGGCAAAATATGCTGCTAACCTTGGATTCAGCTGTGTAGTACTTTTAAAGCTGATTTGAATGGCTGTCAAGATTCTTTTTCTCAGGTATGTCCACGGTCATCTTGGCTCTTTCCTATTTTGTCCCATTTGAATCTGGGGAGTGTGCCTCCAAAGAAACAGCTTTGGTGGCAAAATCAGCTGTTTGTTGGCAGGAGAAAAAGATCAAGGTGCCATTCATCATCTCATTTTTGGAGGACTCCTCCCATTGTTTTGATTAGTAGCAGAGAAGTATTGCATTTACAGGCATTGCAAATAACATCTTCCAAATCACTTTGAAGTATGCCTGTTCTATATTTAATTATTAATTTATTTCTAAATCATGGGCAGCATGTGTAAGTATTGGTTGGTGTGAAGCAACCAGTACTTTGTGAAGCCCTCTTAGCCAAACATTTAAGCTTTCCAAATACATCCTGTTAGTGATTCTGTTTTATATTCATTTCCATGAATATAAGTTCTGGAAATAGTTCTTCTAGGAATAATATTGTCACACTAAATGTTTAAATTTTTATTCCACCTTTATTGCTTTACAAGTAACTTAAGGTGGTGAACATACATAATACTTCCTCTTCCTTATTTCAAATGCATAGCATCATTATAATATTTATTTTATTTCTAAATATACCAGTAGATAATGAAAAGACAAAATATAAGGCTTAAGCCACATGTGTTTCCAACAACCTTGTGTACAAATGCCAGAGTCCCAAATTTACCTCTAATTTATAATTCTTATTGAGATTAAAGGGAAGAATCCAGTAATGAAATCAAATAGTGTCCTTATTCTGCTTTTCTTGTCTTGAGTTCCTGAAGGCACTCATCTACTAAGTCTGCCAAATTCATATTCATGTCAAATTGCTCTGATACAAAGTATGGTAACAACAGACTAATTTGTTACATATGGTGGCACATTTAAAAAATGCCACAAACATTCATGCAACATAAATGGCCATAAAATAATACGTAAAATAAGTTTAACTTTTGTTTTTGGCAGCATAATGTATGGGAATCTATAAGGCTTCAATATTATGCCTGGAAAAATGAGCTTTTATAACTGCAACTGTACAGTTTAAATGGAAGGAGAATTACATAATTCATCAACAAAGACACAACTCTTGCTTCCTAGTAATTGTGCTGTAGTCATCATCTGGCAAGTTTATTACAATATCACAATCCTACCACCTACTTGGATTTGTAGGCAAGGTCCTTCAACTGTTGCCTTTTAGCTAGGTTTTGTTAACCTTTCCAATGTTTTTCAGTGATTTATGATCACTGCCTAGAATTCTTTGTAAAATAATAAGGGCAAGATACAAATACTTTTTTCACCCCTTCCAGTTTGAGTTCCTTCGGCGACAGACAGAAATCCGTGATCGTGCGCGGTTTCGGTCTGGGCTCGCCACTGGAGCGCCCCGAGCCGGCTGGTTTCGGGGCTAAGCCACCCCGTAGAGGTGGTGAAGAGGGGGGAGAAATCAGAAAAATCCGCTTTGACATCAATAGGCAATTAAGCTGAAAATAAAACAAAATGTCAAAGGGATAATAAAGATTTCTGGACACTAAATTTTTTTTTCATAAGCAGGAAGGTAGGGAAAAGAATAAAAGGGCAGGATCTGGAAAGAGGGAGGAGACTGCCTGGAATTAAAAAGAATCTACAGTAAAACTTCAACAAGACTTCTAAAAGATACATTTTAACTGAAACTTTGTAACTAAACAGTAGAACCCCAGGAAGAAAAAGTGAAAAAAAAGAGCAAAAAGAAACAGCTTGCGTGTATTTGGATTACTTGGTGATCTTTGGATTCTTGGTTATTGCATTTGAATGACTAAAATTAATCGGGTGGTCGTTTAAAAATTTATACAATGGCACTACTTCTGGATGAATTGAAAATGGAACTTAAAAAGTATAAAGAAGATGCACAAGAAGGGAGAGGTTCTTTTGGCTTCATTTTTCAATTCTTAGAAATGGAGATTTGGAACTATGAGAAACAACAAGAAATGTCTGCAAAACAAGAAGACTGGGACAAAGAAGAAGCCATCTTTAATGAACAAGTAATTCTATGTGGGGAAGAAAAAGGAAAGGGGGGGAAGAGAATGGAGAATTTAAGACTTAAAAAAACGACCAAAGAAAAGAAAAATAATTCGAAAAATAAGTATAATACTGGAAAGCAACAGAAGAGGGGAATACAGAAGAGAGAAATAGAGGTAGAGAGACAAGGGGGTAAAAAGGGGAGAGAGAAGAAGAGAAGGAAGAAGGAAAGGAAAAGAAGTTACAAAGGACCGGAACAAGATATAGAGAAACAGGACCTATTTAGAGATAATGGGTGAAAATTTAACTGAAAAAGGGATTCTGTAAAGGTACATAAGATTGTATTGTTATATTAGTAATAGAAATAACTTTAGAAAATTGGAAACAACGTATGATTAAAATGAGGGATAAAATAGTTAGTGTAATTTAGTGAAATGTTCGTTAATAAAATAAGTGAAATAAAATAAATGAGAAAATTGAATTTGGAAGGGACGGGAACATTTTAATTAGTTAATGTTTTATAAAATAAAAGTGAAGGGGGGGAATTAATTATGGAAAGCTTATAATTGTTCCCATAGAAGTATGATATTTAATTGAAAAGTAATATTAAAGAAGTTAAGATTTTAATGAATATTAACATTAATGATAGAATTGAACTGGAATGGAATGTGTTGTTTTAATTACATATATTTATAATGTTTTCTTTTTTTAAGAATATAGTGTGTATTTTAAGAATGTACCAAGCAGAATCCGAATGGAAGTTATGTATTATATTGAATGTTATAACTTTAGGGTATATATTGAAGCCTAAATAAGAGTTAAATGGATAAACTTAAAAGATATAAAGGCGTCATACTCCAATCAGTAACTACAGGAGAAACTTTGTTTAATGAGAAAAGATAATAGATAATTGAACAGGACAGACAAAAAATATAAATATAATGATTTGAATTGAGACGAGATAATTAAAATAAAATTGAGAAAATTAAAAGAGGGGAGAAGCTATGCAGAAAATGTAAAACAGTAATAAGATATGGAATAGAACATAAAAACGAGCATGAAATTGAATTTGTGTCTGTACGAAGAAATGTAACCCGGGATTACGCTACTTTCAAAAAAGATGTTTTATTTGTATTTTTTTTTGTGAAAACTCAAATAAAATTTACAATTAAAAAAAAATACTTTTTCCACAGTGTATCATCTTACTAGCATTTCTGGAGAGCGCTGTGGGAATTAAATCGATAGCATAATTGTAGTGCAACTTATGTAAGAACAAATTTGTTCAAGTTCTTCTCCCAAGTTTGAAGATTCAAAGTTATGTAATATAGAAAAAGATTCTTATTTTAGGTTGCATTCTATTTTTAGGAGGAAATAGCAAGGAGTTTCTTCTGGGTAAGGCCTCTCCTGGTCCCACAAGTGCGCCTATGTCCAGAGTTTCTTCATATGGGTTATTCGGGAAACAGATTTCAAAGTGTGTGTACTGCATTACAAAGATTACATTTTTACGTTTTCCCAAGCAATTCAAGACAGGCAGCATGACTTCATCAGGATAATAAAAACAACAGGCTAAAAAACAGCTTTTATCCCAGGGCAGTAACTCTATTGAATTCTACTGTATAGTACGCTTAAGATGGTATTTAATTTCGTTATACAATGTGCAATGACAATAAAGTAAACTAAACTAAACTAAATTTTCATCACTTAAAAGCGGAATAAGGTAAAATGAATTAAGAGGCCCATGCCATTCTGTTTTTCCCTTTCTGGAACAGGAGGAAAGAAAACGTTGCATCGACTCCTGCAGTAAATTATACACACTAAGCCTCCTCTTGGCGGGGAGTTCAAAGACCCGCGAAGGGCAGGGGAAAAGGAAAAAAAAGGCTCGAACGCATCCCGGAACGCTGGCAGGAGTGTGGAAGGGCTCAGATCTCGCGATAATCGGGAGTAACGCGGCGCCCGGGAGACCGTTGCTTGGCAACGAGACGCTCGTAACCGGCAGTCTCCGGCCCGGCAGCGATGGATGCCGAGACGCTGCCTTATGCGCTGGACCTGGTGGCCAGCAGCGGGGTATGCTTGAGCCCGGAAAAGCGGGCCGCCTTGAGGAACTCCCTGCTACTGGTGCGCAGGGACTACCGTTTCGAGCAGGTCCGCCTCTGGGGCCGCATCCAAGGCATCCGAGGAGCCTACTATATCGCCGAGGGCTTGGGACCAGACAGGGCTGGGATCAGAAGCCGCCTCTACAGGTGGGCGGCCGCGGCTGGGAGACCCATCTATGCCTATCCACCTCGAGGGTGATCCTAGAGCAAGGGATCTGGTGGAGATCTAATGAGCTGGCCCTAGACTCTCTGCGCTTGAACAGTGTACAGATAATCCTCAATTTACGACCCCAGTTGAGGGGTCCTTGTTGCTCTTTGAGCGTGCTTGTTTTCTTGCAGACGTTTCATTACCCTAGCTTGGTAACATCATCAGTGCTATTAAGGAGTGACGTTTGCTATCAGTTTATATTCTGGTGTCTTGCCTGTCTGTGTGGGTAGGAGTGGTCTTAGGGATTCTTTGGTTGGGCTGTTTACTGATGGCTCTTTGGCTGTTTTCTTGATTAAGATAGTCAAATTGAGTAGGTATTGCTTACTTGATGGTTGGTCTGAAGTTAACCAACCATCAAGTAAGCAATACCCTAATCAGGAAACTGTCAAAGAAGCTATTAGTAAACAGCCCAGCCAAAGAATCTTTAAGACCATCCTCACCCACACAGACAGGCACCACATATATAATCTGACAGCAAACTGCACTTACTAGCACTGATGATGTTATCTAGTTAGGGTAATGAAATGTCTACAAGAATACAAGCAAGCTTGGAGAGCACCAAGGATCCCTCATTGCAGCCCTGAGCTACAAATATTTTCCTTTATTAGGGCCACAATTGAGCCCAAAATGTATGTTGCTGAGTGACAAATTTGTTAAGTGAGTTTTACCCGCATTTTATGACCTTCTTGACACAGTTGTTAAGTGAATCACTACAGTTGTTAAATTAGTGACGCGGGTGTGAAGTGAATTTGGCTCTCCCGTTGACTTTTCTTGTCAGAAGGTCGCGAAAGGGGATCACATGACCCTTGGGACACTGCAACCGTCATAAATGTGAAGCAGTTGTCAAGCATCTGAATGTAAATCATGTGACCATGGAGATGCTGCATGGTCATAAGTGTGAAAAATGATCATAAGTAACTTTTTCAGTGCTGTTGTAACTTTGAATAGTCACTAAACAAAGTGTTGTAAGTCTAGGACTCCTTGTACTGGGTTTCCAAGAGGCTGATTCCTTGGTAGGAGAAGCAGAACCTGTGGAATTTCTTATGTTCTGGTTATCCAACAGGCAGAGGAGAGAATGTCAGGTGGAGAGAATATTGCCAAGTACAGATAATCCTTGGCTTACAACAGTTCACTTAGTGACTGTTTGAACTTACAACAACACTGAAAAAAGCGACTGATGACCATATTTCACACTTAGGGCCATTGCAGCATTTCCATGGTCATGTGATCAAACTTCAGATGCTTGACAACTGACTCATATTTATGACGGTTGCAGTCACGTGAGCACCTTTTGCGACCTTCTGACAAGGAAAATCAGTGGGGAAACCAGGTTTTCTTAACAAGTGAATCACAACTGCAGTGTGGCAAGAAAGTTTGTAAAATGGGACAAAATTCACTTAAAAATAGTCTCACTTAGCAACAGAAATGTTGGGTTCAATTGTGGTAATAAGTCAAGGACTACCTTTAGCTGATAGGAACAATAGTAATCAGCGGGCTTCTGGAGCTCCTGCTGTGCTAAAGAGCTGAAACCAGTGGACAAAAAAATTAAATTAAATTAAAAATGATTTAAAAAGGAACTATTTAGCTTTAAGAACTTAGCTTTCTTTTTTTTAATAATGCCTATATGCAAAACTCAACTTCTCTTCAGGGACAGGATTTTCATTTGTAGTTTTTATTATTAATCCTGGAAGAATCAGAACCGTTTTACAAATAATCAAAAGTATTTAAAAGTATGTTTATGTGGGCTCAGTAGAGCAATACAATTCACTCTGCAATGTGAAATGATAATACAGGTTTCTCGGCCCAGGTATTGGATTCTGCCAATTTCTTATTAAAAATGATAGGGATGATTTATTTATTAAGACAAGCCAAATATGAACAAAATATTGACAATCATAATTTGTCATCACTTCATCTTTTAAGTAGGCAAAATATAAGAGTTGTGCAAATCCTCCCAGAAGGCTGTTTTGCAATGGGTGGGAATGCATACAAAGAAGCACTCTGTCTATATCTTTCTTCCAGAGTTAAATGGATGCTTTGTAAATTATCACGTGTGCATGCTTGCATAATCATTTCATTTTTACTTTTTTCTTTCAAATAATCTAAAAGGTACTATTAAAAAGAAAGTAAGGCAGAAGATGGATAGAGAGAAGCTTACATAATGTTGAAATCTTAAGCTCTGCATAGTCAGTCTTGGAACAGAAGAAAAAACTACTCAACTAAACAAATTAACAGGAAATGACTGATTTTCTGTGATTTTTCCAATATTTAAACATTTAATACTGTATCCCTGTGAAAGAACCTTTGTGAATTATAAAAAAGAATAAAAATAATTAGTGTTGGTTTTAGTAAAATAAGATTGATTTTGTTAATGTGTTATATAAATAATGGCAAATAAAAGCTTCATTGAATTGGTAGAGACATAGAAATAAATACTTGAGGAGTGTTTAACATAAAATTAATGTTTCAATACAAAGCTTTAATATTCTTTTCAGTGTTACGGTTTTGCTCTTAATGATTTTATGTGATTATTGAATATGAGATATACATAAATTATGTTAATAGATAAAATAAATATTTATACAGGAATTTCAAGTTATTCAAAGCACATAATTTATACTAAGAAGTTGTAATCCCTACAACTACCATAAGATCTAATACAATATCAGCATAATATATTCCTTATGGCAAATGAAGAAGAGTGTGTTTAAGAGAGAGAATGTGTACCTACTTGGTTCATGACACCATTGCAGTTAAAATTGGGATTATTTGACTTAAAATTTAATCTGTGAGTCATTCATACTATTCCAAGTCTTTTCTGATGTCCTGCACCCCACTGCAACTCTGCTTGTCAGTTGTTCCTTTGACAATTTTAATGGGATTTTTGATAGAGTTCATACATGTCTATAAAGAAAAGTTTCTGATTTTTTAAAAAACTTGTTTGGTAACACTAAACCTATTTTACTTTTTTTGTGCGGTGGATAGCTTGAACGGTGCGGATTGGAGTCTTCTGCCACCCCCCTCAGAGGAAATTATTGCATTGACTGCAGGATTAAAGGGACGTTTCCAAGGGGATCCGTCTTATGAGTATGAATTCCCTGAGAAAAAAGAAGGTGAAAGATCATATGAAGAAGAAATTGGAGTAAGTCAATGAGTGATGGTGTGACCTTTGTACATAATTTTTTATGAATATTCTTTATCATTTGTATTTTTTCTTAAAAATATTTATTATAATTTTCTTTTCATCATGATTATTCACTTTTGGTGCATTTCTATCTCATCCTTTTGTCTAACCTGGTTATGGAATGTGGGATTCCCACTGACTTTTCAGATATTTGTCACTCTTTGCCTCAAGAATGAACTACAGTACTTAAGAATTCAGTCTATGTTTTACATTTATTTTGCTATAGATTAAATGTTATTTTTGAATTTGGTTTCAGTGACACTGAGACAGTAATCAACATACTGCAAATTAAACCAGTATCATAGGCTTAGCCAACAGATTTAATTTTCTGTCCATTCTTTTCTCTCACAATGATCTTAAGGCAGGGGTACAGAGAGGTCCAAGGGCACCTTAAAGCTTGAGGTGACCCCAGAGCTTCTTTTTAAAAAATGGGAAGATAAAAAGTAAATATATATGTAGGAGAGCATAGGGAAATCCAGAGAAACTATATATAGCCTTAATATCTTTTGCCTATCTTCCTTCCACATTTCAAATGTTTACATTTTTGTTTAATTTAAAAATAGAAAGACATTCTCTTGATCCTTTCTTCAAATCCCCAAAGAAGAAAACTGTATTTAAATTATAGGTTCTATCTATCCTGCTAGCCATTTGCTTCCTTCCCTCCAATCTCAAAAACCAACACATGTACAAAGAAAATTTAAAAACTGCAAATGCATTAATTGGCTGTGGGAAGTTCAAGATATGTCTTTCATAATTGAATGTTTGGCTGCTGCTGGCTTTAAAAGAGCTGATTAGAATGAAAACATAGCTGAGTGTTTGAGAAGATAGTTAAGTTTTCTGTTTCCTCTTTATTTTTCTTAGCTGATCATTCTTTACCCAGTTACAGATGGAAGAAATAAAGAACAGGCATTAGTAGGCACATTCAGAATTTGGATATTTTAGACTCTCACCCACACATTTGCCAGCAGCAATTTTGCAGAATAATATAACAAACAGAAAAATAACGGTGTTCTAAATGATGTATTATTTTTGGAGGAAGAAAAAGATTATAGGCAGAACATGACCCCCCTTTTCCCAAAATGGGAAAATTCTTTATTTGTATTTGTTTCTAAATTGCTAAAGATTTATCATAATGATAGTTGGTTTACTAGCATGGTTGGCACACAGTCAGCCAGATGTTTAGACTAGATTTTTTTTTCTTGACAATTGTTAAATCTGGGGCTGTTGTCAATACAGTATTCTTCAGATGGTTCATATGTATTGTGAGCTTCATAGTGATGAAACCAAGAATAGCAATCTGCTATTTGGGCTAATTATTTAGGATATATGTATGTATGTATGTATGTATGTATGTATGTATGTATGTATGTATATGTATATGTATATGTATATGTATATGTATGTGTGTATATATATATATACACACACACACACACACACACACACATATACATATACACATACACACTCACTCTCTCTCTCTCTCTCTCTCTCTCTCTATATATATATATATATATATATATATATATATATATATATATATAAACATATGCATACACATACACATACACATACATATATACATATATACATACATATATACATACATACATACATATACACATACATATATATGTATATATAATGTATACTACCTTTAATCTGAATATTAATGTCTTAGTAGTTTCCTAGGATCATCATAAAAACAACAGTTACTCGTGCTGTAATCAAGGTATTGATTCAGGCCAAATCAACATTATATTTAATTGGGATAATGGAAAAAAGTATTTTAATGGCTGTGTCTTAGCTCTGGAATTTCCCTTAAAATAAATCTCCTTTCATCCTCCCCTGAAATACTCAGAAATGAGTAAAGTTAGGGAAAAAATTAGCCTCAATCTTAATTTGATTTGTCTTTTTAAAAAATATTTTAAATATTTTGGTTAGTATTGTATTCTACATTTGTATTTCATATAAAAGGAAAATTTTAAAATGTAAAATGATTGAATTTTTATATGCTTTAGAACTTCTTAGTGCAGAATATAAATGCAAAGTATGCTTTTTTTACATCAGTGAATATCAGAAATTCCTATGACCCTCTGTATATTTATTTACTTCATTTTTGTCTACTTTTCTATTAAAATAATACTAACAATAGCTCAACACAAACTAATTTTTAGAAGTAGATAATCGTAATTAATATAAAATAAAGTGTAAACAAAGTATATTGAGAAATGAGTCACGTTCATCAGATTAAACCAACATCATCTTAAACCAAGACCAACAGAGTTAAGCAGACCTTTGAATCGCCTATTCCTGCCAAGTGTTGGTCCCCACTTTCTCTACATTTTAAAAAACCTAGTCAGATTCCTATAGGAAATTGGTCTTTTGTATAGCTGATCCTAAGCCTGCAGGACTTTACAGGTAATCCTCAATTTATGACCACAATTGAGCCCAAATTTCTGTTGCTAAGTGAAACAGTTGTGAATTTTATCTCATTTTACAACCTTTCTTGCCACAGCAATCACTGCAGTTGTTAAGGTGTTAAGTGAATCTGGCTTCTCTATTGACTTTGCTAATATAGTAACTACTGTTTGTAATCTCATAGAATACTTTTCTCCATAATTCTCCATAATTGTATTTTCCTTTCTATTTTTAATAGAATCAAGGTATTTAAGTAGGAACAAAGTTACTTTTTGTCAACCAGTTTTTTTGCAATGAAAACATATTAAATACAGTGAATATATTTACCTCTAAGTTCATCAGGAGGAAAATATACTAATTTTATAAAGGAATTGATATGATTATTCTAATTAATTTTTCATTAGTAATGTAGGAATAATAATATCAATTTATTACATTTTTGTGCTGCCTGACTTCCAGTGACTCTACGCAGTTTTCATACCTACTGTATGAGAATGAAGGAATATTATTCTCTCCCAAATCTCATTCTTGAAATATAGGGAATAGATTTTAATGTTTGCTTTTTCTTATAGCCTTTGGTCAAGGAGGAGCTCCGTCTGGTAGCCACAATACATAAGATAGATCAAGAAGTGGGTATTGTTCCACGGGGCGCATATGTAAAATCTCCACTTGGACCTGTGCATGTGAACAGGAGCTTTGAAGGTAAATCTGTGCGAGGACAGTTCTGTTGCCTTTGAACTCTAAATTGACTATAATCGCATATATTGGGTTTTGTAATTTTGCTCAAACAGTCAGTCACAACTCATATACCCGTGCACATGGCAGATACACAAATTATGTGTTGTGCATACAAGGAAGGAGGCTATGTGTAAAACACACACAAAAACGTCACGTTTTCGGAGTAGGAGAGGGTAAGTTATCGCTGCTGCTCAATTTTTTGCTGCATAATGGTAATAAAAGTGTTAGCCTTTTTAGAGTTTCTACACGTAGTTCTTCACTTTTAGTGGAAAAGTGTGAATATCCGTCCACGCAGTTAGTTTCCTAGTTCTGCTTCATGATTGATAAGTCCATGTCTAACATGTTTATTGGTTCGAAATCTTGGTGGCTGTTGTTGTACGGAAACCTCACGGGGACAGGACACGTTCTCCTTTAAGACACATTGGCCCTTGTCATTTAACAGTTTGAAGGCATGCAGTACTTTTTTTTCTTTGTTCTTGTGAAATGCACACACAGACACACAAATGCTCAGGCTTTTTCACCATCGCAGTTGCAGAGTCTGTGTATTGTGCAAATAAAATAATAATAATAATAATAATAATAATAATAATAATAATAATAATAATAATAATAATAATAATAATAATAATAGTAATAGGTGGAAGCTCCTCTTTCACCCCAGTGTTGTAAGTGCTGCTGTGAGGAAAAGTGACAATTGTTCTGGATATGCTGTTTGAACTCCTAGTTTATTACCTGGCAACAGTAACAATAAAAAAGGGGGGGAAAGGCACCCTTCTTCAAGTTCACATTTTTGCTCAAGACATTCTAGTTATTCTAAGAAGTGCTATTACCATGTTGACTAGGTTACAAGAGTGCACAGGGAACCTCTGAATTCTCTTGTATACAAGAGTGTAATATGTATGCAGCACTTTTCAGATATTTTGTGCTACATAGCTGCAGCTGATGAGAAGAACCATGGATTTTTCCCAAACATCTGGAGAGCAGTAAGCCCCCTCTCTTTGCCAAATATAAACTTAGCAGGGAAACAAACATATGTCTTCTCCCCTCAGCTCTTTTTATGACATGGGTTAGCAGGGCCTCTTCTTAACTTTTACAGTGAGTATTAGGGCTGAAAAGTGATATCAGGATGGTTTTTTTAGCAGAAGAGTTTGGGCAGTTCTTTATTTTTAGTGATTATATTTCTATTTTACAGTTAATATAGTTTTCGTATTTTCCCATGTCAAAATGGTAGGAAGCTGTCCATGTTGAGTTTTCACAGCCAGAGAGATCTCTGAGGCTCAGAAATGTCCTCTGAGTTTAGGTACTGCAAAACTTTGTGTTAATACAATTCAGAATTCTATTGGACTTTACCACTGAAATATTTTCTTTGATCAACTCCTGGTTTCAAATTTCATATGAATGAAATTAAAACTTCTCACTACCCATTTCTAATGTATTTGTCCACTTACCTAAATAGTACCATCAGTGACTCAGGGTATTGTGGAAAAAGTAAGAGGTGGAAGTCTTATCTATACCATCTTAAGTTGTACAAGTTAAGGTGGGATATCAATCAATTAATTAATCAAATAAAATGCCTAAATATTTCACAAGTCCATTAAGAAAGTGAACTTTCAATAAATCAAAGAACGGCAATACATTTCTAAAAGAGACTACTGAGCAGTGCTGATTTCCTTTTTTCACTTTCATCAACAGGTTTGTCCCTGACAGAAGCAAAAAAATTAAGTTCCTATTTCCATTTTACTGAGCCGGTAAAATTGAAGAATAAAACTCTGCTGGAAAAAGCTGACTTAGATCCAGCAATTGACTTTTTGGATTCTCTTGAACATGATATCCCTAAAGGTAGGAAAAAGTACTATCCCACATGCAAAATGAAAAAGGCAGTAGTGGCACTTGGCGCCTTATAAAGAAGAGCTTTATAAAGAAGAGCTATTTGCCGTTTGTTGCACAAAAGAAATAATGATTAATTTCATATAGCATGTTTTAGCCATTCAGCTTTTGGATTAACCTTCATTTCTCTTATCCTTAAATTGAAATTGGGGAGGAACCCATAAGTTAATACCAGTACATATAAGTAAATTAATTCTTTGACTCAGGCTGAATTGTGGGAGACTTTGTATATAATGTCTCCATTTTTAAAATTCATTCCCCTCTCTGAATATATGAATTTACTTTGAAGAGGCATAGCTGTTTTTCATTACAGCAATTCGGAAAATAGAAAACTGCACCAAATAATATTTTTTACGCTATACAAAACCTTGTAGAAGAGCCTGCATGCTTTGTGGAAGACTGTATTTGAATTGTTAAAGCAGCTTCAGAAGATTCACTAGTTGTCTTAATATTCATCTGTATGCACAGAAAACACTTTTACTGTCAAAGTTTCTTAAATTGCTGAGCCTTCACAGGACATGTCTGCTTTAGCACTTTGAGGAAAGGTGCTATATAGACCCAGTATGTTTTGTGAAATACCCCTTCCAGTGGTGGTATTCGACTGGTTCTGCCCGGTTCTGGACAGCCGGTAGGAGCGATGAGCAGCAGCGACCGAACCGATTCTGTCTGATGCTCTGCTGTTGGGCCCACCCGCCCGCCCGAGCTCCCATACTCACCTTTATCCGCTGAATTTGAAGCGCAGCTGCTTTGTACGGCACAGAATAGCGCCGCGCGGCAACTGCTGAAGCGACCGGGATCGTGCAGGCTTGCAGGAGGCGAGTTAGAACGCCTCAGCGCCTGTGCAAATGCCTCTAGGCACCTGCGCAAAGTGCGCGTTTGTTGTGCGCGTGCACGCAAAGTATGTGCACGTGCGCAAAGTGCACCCACCATGCCACGCCCACAGAACTGGTGGCAACAATATTTGAATCCCACCACTGACCCTTTCCAAATGCTTTCTGCAGTCCTAAGCTAAACGCAAGCAGCCACTCACCTCCCTGCATATGTTTCTCCTAAATAAAACAACTGAACAATAACCAGTGAATCAGATTCCACGGACAAAATTTGAATGTTAACACATGCAAAAACTAAAATGCTGCACCAGTGTTCGTTTAAAGATATAAAAAAACCATCACAGTTTCCTTTTTAAATGATTTGAGGAAATGAAAACCATCAGGATGTAGATGGGCTTATACAGATAGTCCTCGACTTACAACAGTTCACTTAGTGACCATTTGAAGTTACAACGGCAGTGAAAAAAGTTACTTATGACCATTTTGCACACTTATGACCGTGCAGCATCTCCATGGTCACATGATTTACATTGGGATGTTTGACAACTGATTCACATTTATGACGGTTGCAGGGCCTCAGGGTCAAGTGCTCAACTTCTGCAACCTTCTGACAAGCAAAGTCAATGGGGAAGCCAGGTTCCCTTAACAACCGGGTTACTAATGTAACAACTGCATTAACAACTACTAATGTAACAACTGTGATTCCAACTGCAGTGATTCACTTAACTAATGTGGCAAGAAAAATCATAAAATGGGGCAAGACTCACTTAACAAATTTCTTACTTACAACATAAAGTTTGGGCTCAATTGTGGTCGCCGGTTAAGGACTACCTGTATTGTCATTTTTGAAATAATTTGTAACTTGAAAGCTGGGTCGAAAAAATACAGGCAGTCCTTAGCTTACGATCACATTTGAGCTCAAAATTTATGTTCCTAAGTGAGATGTTTTGTCCCATTTTACGACCTTTTTTGCTGCAGTCATTAAGTGAAATCACTGCAGTTGTTAAGGGAATCTGGCTTCCCCATTGATTTTGCTTGTCAGAAAGTTGCAAAAGAGCAGGGGTCTCCAAACTTGGCAACTTTAAGACTTGTGGACTTCAACTCCCCGAATTCTCGAGCCAGCTATGCTATGCTATGCTGGCTGGAGAATTCTGGGAGTTGAAATCCACAAGTCTTAAAGTTGTCATGTTTGGAGATCTCTGCAAAAGGGGATCACATGATCCCAGACCACTGCAAAGGTCATAAATATGAGTCAGTTGCCAAGTGTCTGAATTTTGATCATGTCGACATAGGGGTACTGCAATGGTTGTAAGTTTGAAAAACGGTCATGACTTCCATTTTTCAGTGCTGTTGTAAGTTTGAATGTCACTAAATGAACTATTGTAAGTTGAGGACTGCCTGTATATTGATTTTATGGGTATTAGCATGCAAAAATATGCATATTGAAAAATCACATATAAACTTAGGACAATTAGATACTGTATCGATTTTATAGAAAACCGGAGAGAATCTACTTAAGGATCGAATTTATTTATTTATTTATTTGATTTATTTATTTGATTTGTCAATTGCTTACAAAATAATAGGTATAAGTATATACATAGTTATGAATACATGAAATGGGTACATATAAGAAAAATAAAAGAAACAATAGGACAGGGACAGTAGGCACGTTGATGCACTTATGCACGCCCCCTACAGACCTCTTAGGAAAGGGGTGAAGTAATAGTAGACAGTCTGAGGTTAAAGTTTTTGGGGTTTGGGGAAGAAACTACAGAGTCAGGTAGAGTATTCCAGACATTGACCACTCAATGTTGCTGAAGTCGTATTTCCCGCAATCAAGTTTGGTGCGGTTAACCTTGAATTTGTATCTATTGTGTGCTCTTGTGTTGTTATGGTTGAAGCTGAAGTATTCATTGACAGGTAGGACATTGCAATGTATGATTTTATATACCATACTTAGATCAGACCAAAGACGGCGTAATTCAAGGTTTTCTAGGTCTAGAATTTCAAGTCTGGTGGCATAAGGTATTCTACAACGAGTAGAGGAGTGGAGAACTCTTCTTGTGAAATATTTCTGGACTTTCTCAATTGTGCTAATATCAGATACGTAATGTGGGTTCCAGACTGATGAGCTGTATTCGAGTATTGGTCTAGCAAATGTTTTGTATGCTCTAGTTAGTAGTGTGATATTACCAGAGAAAAAGCTACGTAGGATTAGGTTAACAACTCTTAATGCCTTTTTGACTATGTAGTTACAGTGGGCTCTAGCACTTAGATCATTAGAGGTGAGTATTCCAAGGTCCTTGACAGAGCTTGGGTCATCAACAAGATCTTGACTATTCAGCTTGTATTTTATTTTCTGATTTTTTTTGCCAATATGTAAGACAGAGCATTTATTTGTTGAGATTTGAAGTTGCCATTTGTTTGACCATTCTGATACATAGTCAAGATCTTTTTGAAGGGTAGCAGTATTGTCTGTGGTATTGAACAGCTTTACATCATCAGCGAAAAGAACGCAGTTGCTCTTAATATGATCACAGAGGTCATTTATGTAGAGTATGAAGAGAGTTGGTCCTAGAACACTGCCTTGGGGGACACCACTATTGACAGGTACAGAATTTGATGGGACACTCCCAATTTTGACCATTTATTGTCTGTTTGCCAGGAATGCTTCTATCCAGTTATGCAGTTGTCCAGAGATACCATAAGATTTTAGTTTTAGGAGTAGTTTGTCGTGTACCACTGAATCAAAGGCTTTACAGAAGTCTATGTAGATTGCGTCTATTGCTTTGCCCTGATCGAGTTGTGTAGTCCATATGTTTTTGCAGTGTAAGAGTTGCAGATTACAGGATAATTTTTTCCTGAAACCAAATTGTTTATTGGAGAGTAGGTTGTTTATCTCTAAATGGAGGATAATGGATTGGTTAATAATTAATTCCATGACTTTACAGGTGACGCAGCATAAGGAGATTGGTCTGTAATTTTCAACTAGGCTGGGGTCTCCCTTTTTGAAGATGGGGTTGAATGGAACCATCACTTTTTACACAATAACAAAATAAATTTTCAGTGCTGTGCCATTTTTAAACAAGAGCCATATAAAGCCTGTCACATCTTTTCAGTGGGCAGTTTTGTCTGCTTCATGTGTCAGCACCCTGAGCTGTTTAAACTCTTCTGTTTCCTCCTAATTAGGAAGGGTTTGTAGCAGCCGGTGTCCAGCTGTGTGAGATAAGACTCCCAGTGATAGAGGAGTTTTTATGAGCATTTTACATGCCCCTTCCATCCAGTATTGCTTTGTCTTATCTAAATGTGGCCTTGTTAACTCTATCCTTCTATCTTGGGGAGGTTTGGTTCAAACTTTTCTTTGATGAACTATTGCACTTAAGCTACATAGTCGGTAGTCTGCAGCAGTCTGAGCAGTGGAGAATTGTGACCATACACTTGTTATGGTATGCAAAAATTGTAGCTCCTAAGGCAATGAAAATCCATGGTTATTTAACTGATGCCATTCCCTCTGCTTCCTTGACTTGTACTTAATAAGATGTTAAAGCAAGATGCTCACAGACTGGAATTATAAATGCTAGGTTTAGGGTAGGATCTGATCTGTAGCAAAGATTTTGCCTTGTATCTGAATTTTTGTTTCATTCTTTTTACTTGGCAACTGCATTAAATTTAGCACACGTATGTCATCTCAAAGTATGTTTGAAACCATTGTTTTTATTTCAGGTGGGTTGTTTATGAGCAGAAATTGGTAAATTTGGAATTAGGGACAATTTTAAATTTTAAAATTCTGTAAGATTTTTGTCTTTAGATATTATTGCAAAAAGTTATCAAATCAGTGAATCATTGTCTCTTTTAGAAGATTTAGACCGTCCTCTACCTTTCTTGACCATAATGATTTTTCAACCCACCATTTTTTTGCTTATCACAAACTTGTCTGCCTCATGAGGAGAGATTAATATAATGAATTATGTAATGTAATACAGCTATGCTAAGAAATGTAATATGATATAGGATAGATAGTACTACCACCAGATAGATTTTCAGTTGGCTGACCAAATGCAGCATATGGTCCTAAATGGAACTGCATCTACAAGGAAAGAAGCATGTAGTGGAATATCT